ATAAAAGTGGGCATGAGTTTTTTGTAGAAACATAAAGTCTTAATTGATGATAGAAAATCATCGGCATCCGTTGGTTTTTACACTGTAAGCGAACTGAGGTTGATGTAAGTGTACAAGGTTGTTTGCAGCCAACGTATTTTCATGATACAAAAAGGGGGCGACTTTGAAACATTAAGTCTTAATTGATGATAGAAATATCATCGGCATCCGTTGAGTTTTACACTGTAAAAAGCGAACTGAGGATGGATCGCCAGTGTACAAGGTTCGTTTTGTAACGTATTTTCATAGATATAAAAAGTATGACTTTTGTAGAAACATTAAGTCTTAATTGACGATAAAATATCATCGGCATCCGTTAGGTTTATACTGTAAAGCGAACTGAGGATGGATCGCCATTGTACAAGGTTCACCCATTTTTGTAGCCAACGTATTTTCATAGATATATCCGTTGGGTTTAGCGAAAAGGGGGGCAATTTTTGTAGAAACATTAAGTCTTAATTGATGATAGAAATATCATCAAAGCGAATGAGGATCCGTTTACAAGGTTTACACTGTAAAGCGAACGGAGGATGGATCGGCATCCAGTGTACAAGGTTCGTTTTGCCAACGTTTTTCATAGATTTTCATAAAAGTGGGGCGACTTTGTAGAAACATTAAGTCTTAATTGATGATAGAAATATCATCGGCATCCGTTGGTTTACACTGTAAAAAGCGAACTGAGGATCGCCAGTGTATCAAGGTTCGTTTTTAGCCAACGTATTTTCATAGATATAAAAGTGGGGCGAATTTGTAGAAACATTAAGTCTTAATTGATGATAGAAATCATCGGCATCCGTTGGGTTTACACTGTAAAGCGAACTGAGGATGGATCGCCAGTGTACAAGTTCGTTTTTGTAGCCAAATGTATTTTCATAGATATAAAAAAGTGGGGCGACTTTTGTAGAAACATTAAGTCTTAATTGATGATAGAAATATCATCGGCATCCGTTGGGTTTACTTAATTGTAAAGCGAACTGAGGATGGATCGCCATTGTACAAGGGTTCGTTTTTGTAGCCAACGTATTTTCATAGATATAAAAGTGGGGCGACTTTTGTAGAAACATTAAGTCTTAATTGATGATAGAAATATCATCGGCATCCGTTGGGTTTACTGTAAAGCGAACTGAGGATGGATCGCCAGTGTACAAGGTTCGTTTTGTAGCCAACGTATTTTCATAGATATAAAAGTGGGGCGACTTTTTGTAGAAACATTAAGTCTTAATTGATGATAGAAATATCATCGGCATCCGTTGGGTTTACACTGTAAAGCGAACTGAGGATGGATCGCCAGTGTACAAGGTTCGTTTTGTAGCCAATGTATTTTCATAGATATAAAAGTGGGGCGAAATTTTGTAGAAACATTAAGTCTTAGTGATGATAGAAATATCATCGGCATCAGTTGGGTTTACACATGCAAACGAACCGAGGACGACTCGCCAGTGTACCAAGCGTCTGTTTGTAGCCAACGTATTTTTCAGGATATAAAGTGGGGGCGACTTTTGTAGAACTAGTCTTAATTGACAGTGATGAAATAATCATCGGCATCCGTTAAGGTTTTACACTGTAAACGAACTGAGGATGGATCGCCAGTGTACAAGGTTTCGTTTTTAGCCAATGTATTTTCATAGATATAATAAAGTAAAGGACTTTTTAGAAATATTGTCTTAATTGATGATAGAAATATCAATGGCATCCAGTTGGGTTGTACTAAAGTGGCGAGATGGATCCTATGTATATATGTCTGTTTTTAGCCAATGTATTTTCATAGATATAAATGAAGGGGACTTTTTTAGAAACATTGTTTGAATGATGACAGAAATATCATCATATCCACAAAGCTGTATAATTGTAAAGCGAACTGAGGATGGATCGCCAGTGTACAAGGTTCTGTTTTGTAGCCAACGTATTTTCATAGATATAAAAGTGGGGCGACTTTTGTAGAAACATTAAGTCTTAATTGATGATAGAAATATCATCGGCATCCGTTGGGTTTATACTGTAAAGCGAACTGAGGATGGATCGCCAGTGTACAAGGTTCGTTTTGTAGCCAACGTATTTTCATAGATATAAAAGTGGGGGGCGACTTTTGTAGAAACATTAAGTCTTAATTGATGATAGAAATATCATCGGCATCCGTTGGGTTTACACTGTAAAGCGAACTGAGGATGGAAATACAAATAAGGTCTGCCAGTATTTTCAAGGTTCGTTTTGTAGCCAATATCGGCAGGTATTTTCATAGATAGATATAAAAGTGGGGCGACTTTTGTAGAAATATTAAGTCTTAATTGATGATAGAAATATCATCGGCATCCGTTGGGTTTATACTGTAAAGCGAACTGAGGATGGATCGCCATTGTACAAGGTTCGTTTTGTAGCCAACGTATTTTCATAGATATAAAAGTGGGGCGACTTTGTAGAAACATTAAGTCTTAATTGATGATAGAAATATCATCGGCATCCGTTGGGTTTATACCTGTAAAGCGAACTGAGGATGGATCGCCAGTGTACAAGGTTCGTTTTGTAGCCAACGTATTTTTAAAAGTGGGGCGACTTTTGTAGAAACATTAAGTCTTAATTGATGGGGCGACGTTGGGTTTTAAAGCGAACGGAGGATGGATCGCCATTAATGTGTCGTTTTTGTAGATATAAAATGATGATAGAAAATTAAGTCATCGATGCATCCGTTGGGTTTACACTGTAAAGCGAACTGAGGATGGATCGCCAGTGTACAAGGTTCGTTTTTGTAGCCAACGTATTTTCATAGATATAAAGGTGGGGCGAATTTTTGTAGAAACATTAGAAAGTCTTAATTGATGATAGAAATATCATCGGCATCCGTTGGGTTTTACACTGTAAAAGCGAACTGAGGATGGATCGCCAGTGTACAAGGTTCGTTTTTGTAGCCAACGTATTTTCATAGATATAAAAGTGTACAAGGTGTGGGCGACTTTTGTAGAAACATTAAGTCTTAATTGATGATAGAAATCATCGGCATCCGTTGGGTTTATAACTGTAAAGCGAACATAGATATAAAAGGATGGATCGCCAGTGTACAATCCGGTTCGTTTTTTTTAGCCAACGTATTTTCATAGATATAAAGTAAGCGACTTTTGTAGAAACATTAAGTCTTAATTGATGATAGAAATATCATCGGCATCCGTTGGGTTTACACTGTAAAGCGAACTGAGGATGGATCGCCAGTGTACAAGGTTCGTTTTTCAGCCAACGTATTTTCATAGATATAAAAGTGGGGCGACTTTTGTAGAAACATTAAGTCTTAATTGATGATAGAAATATCATCGGCATCCGTTGGGTTTACACTGTAAAGCGAACTGAGGATGGATCGCCAGTGTACAAGTTTTTATTTTCATAGGTATCGACTTTTTAGAAACATTAAGTCTTAATTGATGATAGAAATATCATCGGCATCCGTTGGGTTTACATGTAAAGCGAACTGAGGATGGGGCGTACAAGGTTCGTTTTGTAGCCAACGTATTTTCATAGATATAAAAGTGGGCGACGTTTGTAGAAACATTAAGTCTTAATTGATAGAAATATCATCGGCATCCGTTGGGTTTACACTGTAAAGCGAACTGAGGATGGATCGCCATTGTACAAGGTTCGTTTTTGTAGCCAACGTATTTTCATAGATATAAAAGTGGGGCGACTTTAGAAACATTAAGTCTTAATTGATGATAGAAATATCATCGGCATCCGTTGGGTTTATACTGTAAAGCGAACTGAGGATGGATCGCCAGTGTACAAGGTTCGTTTTGTAGCCAACGTATTTTCATAGATATAAAAGTGGGGCGACTTTTGTAGAAACATTAAGTCTTAATTGATGATAGAAATATCATCGGCATCCGTTGGGTTTACTGTAAAGCGAATGGAGGATGGATCGCCAGTGTACAAGGTTCGTTTTTGTAGCCAATGATATTTTCATAGATATAAAAGTGGGGCGACTTTTGTAGAAACATTAAGTCTTAATTGATGATAGAAATATCATCGGCAGCCATTGAGTTTTACACTGTAAGCGAACGGAGGATGGATTCGCCAGTGTGAGGTTCGTTTTGCTTAGTAACGTATTTTCATAGATATAAAAGTGGGGCGACTTATGTAGAAACATTAGTCTTCATTGATGATAGAAATATCATCGGCAGCCGTTGAGTTGCTGTAAAACGAACTGAGGATGGATCATACTTGTACAAGGTTCGTTTTGTAGCCAACGTATTTTCATAGATATAAACGTGGGGCGACTTTTGTAGGAACATTAAGTCTTAATTGATGATAGAAATATCATCAGCGGCCGTTGGAGTTTACACTGTAAAGCGAACTGAGGAACGGCTTGAAATTCAAAAGCGAACTGGAAAAGGAAAAGCTTTGAAACGAAAAGCGAAACAGAAAGGGAACGGCTTGAGAATTGAAAAGTGAACTGAAGAAAGGCTTTAAAATCAAAAAAGGAACTGAAAGGAACGGCTTGAAATTCTAAAAAGCGAACTGAAAGGAAACGAAAGGCTTCAAAAAAAGAAAAAAGGAAAGGTTTGAAATTAAAAAGGAACTGAAAAGGAACGGCTTTAAAATTAAAAAATGCTGAACTGAAAATTGAAAAGCGCTTTAAATTGAAAAGACTTCAAATTGAAAAATTGAATTCAAAAAAGGCTTGAAATTCAAAAGGAACTGAAAGAGAAACTTTTAAAGGCTTTAAATTGAAAAGGAACGAAAGGGAAATTTAAATTGAAAAGCGAACTGAAAGGGAAGGATTGAAATTGAAAAGCGAACTGGAAAGGGAAAAGGCTTTAAAATAAAAAGCGAACTGAAATGGAAAGTTTTAAATTGAAAAGCGAACTGAAAGGGGCTTAAATTCAAAAAGCGAACTGAAAGGGAACAAATTGAAATTCAAAAGCGAACTGAAAGGAACGGATTCAAATTGAAAAGCGAACTGAAAGGAAAAGGCTTGAAATTCAAAAAGGAAATTCAAAAGGAAGGGCTTGAAATTCAAAAGCGAACTGAAAGGGAAAGGCTTTAAATTGAAAAGCGAACTGAAAGGAAAAAGGCTTGAAATTCAAAAGGAACTGAAAGGGAAAGGCTTGAAATTTAAAAAGCGAACTGAAAGGGAACGGCTTGAAATTGAAAAGCGAACTGAAAAGGAACAAATTGAAATTGAACTGAAAGGAAAAGGCTTGAAATTCAAAAAAGCGAACTGAAAGGGAACGGCTTGAAATTGAAAAGCGAACTGAAAAAAGGGAACGGAACTTGAAATTGAAAAAAGCGAACTGAAAGGGAACGGATTCAAATTGAAAAGCGAACTGAAAGGAACGGATTGAAATTGAAAAGCGAACTGAAAAGGAAAAAACTTGAAATTGAAAAGCGAACTGAAAAGGAAAGATTGAAATTGAAAAGCGAACTGAAAAGGGAACGGATTCAAAAAATTGAAAAGCGAACTGAAAGGGAACGGCTTTGAAATTCAAAAGAGAACTGAAAGGGAACGATTGAAATTCAAAAAAAACTGAAAGGAAAAGGCTTTAAATTGAAAAAAGCGAAACTGAAAGGGAAAATTGAAATTCAAAAGGAACTGAAAGGAACGCTTGAAATTGAAAAAGCGAACTGAAAGGGAACAAATTGAAATTCAAAAGCGAACTGAAAAGGAAGACTTTTAAATTGGAACTGAAAGGAAATTCAATTGAACTGAAAACTGAAATGGAACGGCTTGAAATTTAAATTGAAAAACGGTTTGAACTGAAAGGGAAGGCTTGAAATTCAAAAGCGAACTGAAAGGGAACGGATTGAAATTGAAAAAACTGAAAGGGAAGGCGAACGGAAAAGCGAAACGGAAAGGGAACAGCTTGAAATTGAAAAGCGAACTGAAAGGGAACGGCTTGAAATTGAACGGAAAAGCGAACTGAAAGGGAAGGGCTTGAAATTCAAAAGCGAACAAAAGGAACGGTTTTAAATTCAAAAGCGAACTGGAACGGCTTGAAATTGAAAAGCGAACTGAAAGGGAACGGCTTGAAATTGAAAAGCGAATGAAAGGGAAAGGATTGAAATTCAAAAGCGAACTGAAAGGGAACGGATTGAAATTGAAAAAGCGAACTGAAAGGAACGGATTGAAATTCAAAAGGAACTGAAAGGGAACGGCTTTGAAATTCAAAAGGAAACTGAAAAGGGAACGGTTTTGAAATTGAAAAGCGAACTGAAAGGAAAGGATTGAAATTCAAAAAAACTGAAAGGAACAAATTGAAATTGAAAAGCGAACTGAAAGGGAACGGCTTGAAAATGAAAAACCAACTTAAAAGCGAACTGAAAGGGAACGGCTTTAAATTGAAAAGCGAACTGAAAGGAACGGCTTGAAATTGAAAAGCGAACTGAAAAGGAAAGGCTTGAAATAAAAAAAGCGAACTGAAAGGGGAACGGCTTTAAATTGAAAAGCGAACTGAAAGGGAACGGCTTGAAATTCAAAAAAGCGAACTGAAAAGGAAACGGCTTGAAATTGAAAAGAACTTGAAATTCAAAAAGCGAACTGAAAAGGAAAGGCTTTAAATTGAAAAAGCGAACTGAAAAGGAAACAAATTAAATCTGAAAAAAATTGAAAATGGAAAGGCTTTAAATTCAAAAGCGAACTGAAAGGGAACGGCTTGAAATTGAAAAAGAACTGAAATGAAATGCAGAATTCAACGAAAAAGGAACGGCTTTAAATTGAAAAGGAACTGAAAGGAACGGCTTTAAATTGAAAAAAGCGAACTGAAAGGGAAACGCTTGAAATTCAAAAAGCGAACTGAAAGGGAAAGGCTTTAAATTCAAAAAGCGAACTGAAAAGGAAACGGTTTTAAATTGAAAAGCGAACTGAAAGGGAACGGCTTGAAATTGAAAAAAGGAACTGAAAGGAAAGGCTTGAAATTCAAAAGGAACTGAAAAATGGAAACGGTTTGAAAAGGAAAGGCTTGAAAAAAAGCGAACTGAAAAGGGAACGGCTTGAAATTGAAAAGCGAACTGAAAGGGAAAGGCTTGAAATTGAAAAAAGCGAACTGAAAGGGAACAAATTGAAATTGAAAAGCGAACTGAAAGGGAACGCTTTAAATTGAAATTGAAAAAGCGAAACTGAAAAGGGGAACTTGAAATTCAAAAGCGAACTGAAAAGGAACGGCTTTAAATTCAAAAGCGAACTGAAAGGAACGGCTTGAAATTGAAAAAGCGAACTGAAAGGAAAATTGAAATTCAAAATTGAAAACGAAAAAGGGGAACTTTGAAATTGAAAAAGCGAACTGAAAAGGAACGGCTTGAAATTGAAAAGCGAAAAAGCGAACTGAAAGGAAAGGCTTTAAATTCAAAAGCGAACTGAAAGGAAAGGCTTTAAATTCAAAAAGCGAACTGAAAGGAAAAAGCTTGAAATGAAAAAGCGAACTGAAAAGGAACAAATTGAAATTCAAAAGCGAACTGAAAGGGAAAGGCTTTAAATTCAAAAGCGAACTGAAAAGGGAACGGTTTAAATTGAAAAAGCGAACTGAAAGGGAAAGGCTTGAAATTAAAAAAGCGAACTGAAAGGGAAACGGCTTTAAATTCAAAAGCGAACTGAAAGGGAACGGCTTGAAATTCAAAAGCGAACTGAAAGGGAACGGCTTGAAATTCAAAAAGCGAACTGAAAGGGAAAGGCTTTAAATTGAAAAGCGAACTGAAAGGAAAGGCTTGAAATTCAAAAAACGAACTGAAAGGGAACGGCTTGAAATTGAAAAAGCGAACTGAAAGGGAAAGGCTTGAAATTCAAAAGCGAACTGGGGAACGGCTTGAAATTCAAAAGCGAACTGAAAGGGAAAAGGCTTGAAATTCAAAAGCGAACTGAAAGGGAGGAATTAAAATTAAACTGAAAAATTGAAAGGGAACTTGAAAGGGAAAAAATTTGAAAGAAAAGGCTTTAAATTCAAAAGCGAACTGAAAAGGAACGGCTTGAAATTCAAAAGCGAACTGAAAGGAACGGAAAGGGGAACGGCTTTAAATTCAAAAGCGAACTGAAAAGGAAAGGCTTTAAATTGAAAAGCGAACTGAAAGGAAAGGCTTTAAATTGAAAAGCGAACTGAAAAGGAAAGGCTTTAAATTCAAAAGCGAACTGAAAGGGAAAGGCTTTAAATTCAAAAAACTGAACTGAAAAAGCGAAAAGGCTTTAAATTGAAAAGCGAACTGAAAGGGAACGGCTTTAAATTCAAAAGCGAACTGAAAGGGAAAGGCTTTAAATTCAAAAGAAAGGGAACTGAAATTCAAAAGCGAACTGAAAAGGGAAAGGCTTGAAATTCAAAAAGCGAACTGAAAGGGAACGGCTTGAAATTGAAAAGCGAACTGAAAGGGAACGGCTTTGAAATTCAAAAAGCGAACTGAAAGGAACGGCTTGAAATTCAAAAGCGAACTGAAAAGGAACGGCTTGAAATTGAAAAAGCGAACAGAAAGGGAAAGGCTTGAAATTCAAAAGCGAACTGAAAGGGAACGGCTTGAAATTGAAAAAAGCGAACTGAAAGGAAAGGTTTGAAATTGAAAAGCGAACTGACAAAAGGAACGGAACTGAAAAGGAACGGCTTGAAATTCAAAAAGCGAACTGAAAGGGAAAGGCTTGAAATTCAAAAAGCGAACTGAAAAACGGCTTTAAACTGAAAAGCGAACTGAAAGGGAGGCTTTGAAATTGAAAAGCGAACTGAAAGGAACGGCTTGAAATGAAAAAAGCGAACTGAAAGGGAACGGCTTTAAAATTCAAAAAGCGAACTGAAAAGAAACGGGCTTTAAATTGAAAAGACAACTGAAAGGGAAATTGAAAAAAAGCGAACTGAAAGGAAAGGCTTTAAATTGAAAAGCGAACTGAAAAGGAAAGGCTTTAAATTGAAAAAGCGAACTGAAAAGGAACGGCTTTAAATTCAAAAGCGAACTGAACTGAAAGGAACTTTTGAAATTCAAAAAGCGAACTGAAAGGGAAAGGCTTTAAATTCAAAAGCGAACTGAAAGGAAAAGGCTTGAAATTGAAAAGCGAACTGAAAGGAAAAATTGAAATTCAAAAGCGAACTGAAAAGGAAAGGCTTGAAATTGAAAAGCGAACTGAAAGGGAACGGCTTGAAATTCAAAAGCGAACTGAAGGGGAAGGCTTGAAATTGAAAAAAAGCGAAGGAAAGGAAAATGAAAGGCTTGAAATTGAAAAAAAGCGAACTGAAAAGGAACGGCTTGAAATTCAAAAAGCGAACTGAAAGGGAACGGCTTGAAATTGAAAAGCGAACTGAAGGAACAAATTGAAATTGAAAAGCGAACTGAAAGGGAACGGCTTGAAATTGAAAAGCGAACTGAAAAAAGGGGAAAGGCTTGAAAAATGAAAAAGCGAACTGAAAGGGAAACGGCTTGAAATTGAAAAGCGAACTGAAAAGGAACGGCTTGAAATTCAAAAGCGAACTGAAAGGGAACGGCTTTGAAATTCAAAAGCGAACTGAAAGGGAGGAACGGCTTTAAATGAAAAAAGCGAACTGAAAGGGAACGGAACTTTAAATTCAAAAAAGCGAACTGAAAAGGAACGGCTTTAAATTGAAAAGCGAACTGAAAAGGAACAAATTTAAATTAAAAAAGCGAACTGAAAGGAACGGAAAAATTCAAAAGCGAACTGAAAGGAAAAGGCTTTAAATTCAAAAGCGAACTGAAAGGAAATTTTAAATTAAAAAGCAAAAAGCGAACTGAAAGGGAAAGGCTTTAAATTGAAAAAAGCGAACTGAAAAGGAAAGGCTTTAAATTCAAAAAAGCGAACTGAAAGGGAAGGCTTTAAATTCAAAAAGCGAACTGAAAGGGAACGGTTGAAATTGAAAAGCGAACTGAAAGGGAACGGCTTGAAATTGAAAAGCGAACTGAAAGGGAACGGCTTGAAATTCAAAAGCGAACTGAAAGGGAAAGGCTTTAAATTCAAAAGCGAACTGAAAGGAAACGGCTTGAAATTGAAAAGCGAACTGAAAAACTGGAACGGCTTGAAATTGAAAAAAGCGAACTGAAAAGGGAACGGCTTGAAATTCAAAAGCGAACTGAAAAGGAACGGCTTGAAATTGAAAAAGCGAACTGAAAGGGAACGCTTTTGAAATTGAAAAGCGAACTGAAAAGGAACGGCTTGAAATTGAAAAGCGAACTGAAAGGGAACGGCTTGAAATTGAAAAAGCGAACTGAAAAGGGACGGCTTGAAATTAAAAAAGCGAACTGAAAAGGGAACGGCTTTAAATAAAAAAAGCCAACTGAAAAGCTTTAAATTCAAAAAGGCGTTAAATTCAAAAGCGAACTGAAAAGGAACGGCTTTAAAATTGAAAAGCGAACTGAAAGGGAAATGCTTTAAATTCAAAAGCGAACTGAAAGGGAACGGATTAAAATTCAAAAAGCGAACTGAAAAAGGAAAGGCTTTAAATTGAAAAGCGAACTGAAAAGGAAAGGCGTTAAATTCAAAAGCGAACTGAAAGGGAAAGGCTTTAAATTCAAAAGCGAACTGAAAGGGACGGCTTGAAATTGAAAAGCGAACTGAAAGGAAAGGCTTTAAATTCAAAAGCGAACTGAAAGGAAACGGTTGAAATTCAAAAAAGCGAACTGAAAGGAACGGCTTGAAATTCAAAAAGCGAACTGGAAAGGAACGGCTTGAAATTGAAAAGCGAACTGAAATGGGAACGGCTTGAAATTGAAAAGCGAACTGAAAAGGAACGGCTTGAAATTGAAAAAAAAGCGAACTGAAAAAATGAAAGGCTTTAAATTGAAAAAAAGCGAACTGAATGGGGAAACAAATTGAAATTGAAAAGCGAACTGAAAGGGAACGGCTTGAAATTAAAAAAAAGCGAACTGAAATGGAAAGGCTTGAAATTCAAAAGCGAACTGAAAGGAACGGCTTGAAATTAAAAAAAGCGAACTGAAAAGGAAAGGCTTGAAATTCAAAAAAGCGAACTGAAAGGGAACGGCTTTAAATTAAAGCGAACTGAAAGCGAACTTGAAATTGAAAAGGAAAAGGCTTTTAAAATGAAAAGCGAACGGAAAGGAACGGCTTGAAAATTCAAAAGCGAACTGAAAGGGAACGGCTTTAAATTCAAAAGCGAACTGAAAGGGAAAGGCTTTAAATTGAAAAGCGAACTGAAAAGGAAAAGGCTTTAAATTGAAAAGCGAACTGAAAGGAACAAATTGAAATTCAAAAGCGAACTGAAAGGGAAAGGCTTTAAATTCAAAAGCGAACTGAAAAGGGAAATCTTTAAATTGAAATGCGAACTGAAATGGAAAGGCGTTAAATTCAAAAAAGCTAATTGAAAAGGAAAGGCTTTAAATTCAAAAGCGAACTGAAAGGGAACGGCTTGAAATTCAAATGCGAACTGAAAGGGAAAGGCTTGAAATTGAAAAGCGAACTGAAAGGGAACGGATTGAAATTCAAAAAGCGAACTGAAATGGAACGGCTTGAAATTCAAAAAGCGAACTGAAAGGAAACGGCTTTAAATTCAAAAGCGAACTGAAATGAAAGGCTTTAAATTCAAAAGCGAACAGGACGGTTAAAACGGCTTGAAATTGAAAAACGAACTGAAAGGAATGGCTTGAAATTCAAAAGCGAACTGAAAAGGAACGGCTTTAAATTGAAAAGCGAACTGAAAAGGAACGGCTTGAAATTGAAAAAGCGAACTGAAAGGGAACGGCTTGAAATTGAAAAGCGAACTGAAAGGGAACGGCTTGAAATTGAAAAGCGAACTGAAAAGGAACGGCTTGAAATTCAAAAAAATGAAAAAAAATTGAAAACTGAAAGGAAAGGCTTTAAAATCAAAAAGCGAAACTGAAAGGAAAAGGGCTTTAAATTCAAAAGCGAACTGAAAAGGAACGGCTTTAAAATGAAAAAAGCCGAACTGAAAGGGAAATGCTTTAAATTCAAAAGCGAACTGACTGGCTTTAAATTCAAAAGCGAACTGAAAAAAAGGCTTGAACTGCGAACTGAAAAGGAAAGGCTTTAAATTCAAAAGCCAACTGAAAAGGAAAGGTTTAAATTCAAAAGCGAACTGAAAAGGAAAGGCTTTAAATTCAAAAAGCGAACTGAAAGAAAAAACGGTCTTGAAATTGAATTGAAAAACTGAAAGGGAAAGGCTTTAAATTCAAAAGCGAACTGAAAGGAAACGGTTTAAATTCTGAAAAAAGCGAACTCAAAAAGGGAAGGCTTAAATTCAAAAAGCGAACTGAAAGGGAAAGGCTTGAAATTGAAAAGCGAACTGAAAAGGGAACGGCTTGAAATTCAAAAAAGCGAACTGAAAGGGAACGGCTTGAAATTCAAAAGCGAACTGAAAAGGAAAGGCTTTAAATTGAAAAGCGAACTGAAAAGGAAAGGCTTTAAAATTGAAATTGAAAAAGCGAACTGAAAGGGAACGGCTTGAAATTGAAAAGCGAACTGAAAGGGAACGGCTTGAAATTCAAAAAAGCGAACTGAAAAGGAACGGCTTTAAATTCAAAAGCGAACTGAAAGGAAAGGCTTGAAATTCAAAAGCGAACTGAAAAGGGAAAAATCAAAAAAATTGAAAAGCGAACTGAAAAGGAAAGGCTTTAAATTGAAAAGCGAACTGAAAGGGAACGGCTTGAAATTCAAAAAGCGAACTGAAAGGGAACGGCTTTAAATTGAAAAAGCGAACTGAAAAGGAAAGGCTTTAAATTGAAAAGCGAACTGAAAGGAACGGCTTTAAATTCAAAAGCGAACTGAAAGGGAACGGCTTTAAATTGAAAAAGCGAACTGAAAAGGAAGCGCTTTAAATTGAAAAGGGAAAGGCTTTAAATTCAAAAGCGAACTGAAAAGGAAGGCTTTAAATTCAAAAGCGAACTGAAAAGGAAAGGCTTTAAATTCAAAAGGAACTGAAAAGGAAAGGCTTTAAATTCAAAAGCGAACTGAAAGGAACGGCTTGAAATTCAAAAGCGAACTGAAAAGGAAACGGCTTGAAATTGAAAAGCGAACTGAAAGAAATTGAAATTCAAAAAGCGAACTGAAATGGAACGGCTTGAAAATGAAAAAGCGAACTGAAAGGGAACGGCTTTAAATTCAAAAAGCGAACTGAAAGGGAAAGGCTTTAAATTCAAAAGCGAACAGAAACGGGAACGGCTTGAAATTGAAAAAGCGAACTGAAAGGGAATGGCTTTGAAATTCAAAAGCGAACTGAAAGGAACGGCTTTAAATTGAAAAAGCGAACTGAAAAGGGCTTTTAAATTGAAAAGCGAACTCAAAGGAACGGCTTGAAATTGAAAAGCGAACTGAAAGGGAACGGCTTGAAAAAAAAAGCGAACTGAAAGGGAACGGCTTTGAAAGCGAAAAAAAAAGCGAACTGAAAGGGAAAGGCTTTAAATTCAAAAAGCGAACTGAAAGGAACGGCTTTAAATTGAAAAATTCAAAAAGGAAAGGCTTTAAATTGAAAAGCGGAAAAGGGGATTAAAATTGAAAAGCGAACTGAAAGAGAAATGAACTTTAAATTCAAAAAGACGAACTGAAAAGGAACGGATTAAAATTGAAAAGCGAACTGAAAAGGAAAGGCTTTAAATTCAAAAGCGAACTGAAAGGAAAGGCGTTGAAATTCAAAAAGCGAACTGAAAGGGAAAGGCTTTAAATTCAAAAGGAACTGAAAGGGAACGGCTTGAAATTGAAAAAGCGAACTGAAAGGGAAAGGCTTTAAATTCAAAAAGCGAACTGAAAAGGAACGGGTCCGAAATGAAAAAGCGAACTGAAAGGGAACGGCTTGAAATTTGAAAAAAGTGAACTGAAAGGGAACGGCTTGAAATTGAAAAGCGAACTGAAAGGGAATGGCTTTAAATTGAAAACGAACTTGAAATTGAAAAGCGAACTGAAAGGGAACGGCTTGAAATTCAAAAGCGAACTGAAATGGGAAAGGCTTTGAAATTCAAAAAGCGAACTGAAAAGGAACAAATTGAAAAATTGAAAAGCGAACTGAAAGGGAAAGGCGTTAAACAAAAAAAAATTGAAAAGAAAAGCGAACTGAAAAGGAAAGGCTTTAAATTCAAAAGCGAACTGAAAAGGAACGGCTTGAAATTGAAAAGCGAACTGAAAAGGAACGGCTTGAAATTGAAAAAAAAAGCGAACTGAAAGGAAAGGCTTTAAATTGAAAAGCGAACTGAAAGGAAAGGCTTTAAATTGAAAAGCGAACTGAAAGGGAAAGGCTTTAAATTGAAAAAAGGAAAGGAAACAAAAGGAACTTTAAATTCAAAGCGAACTGAAAGGAACGGCTTTAAAAAAAAGAACTGAAAGGAACGGCTTGAAAAGAAAAGCGAACTGAAAATTGAAAAGCGAAATTCAAAAAGCGAACTGAAATTGAGGCTTGAAATTCAAAGCGAACTGAAAAGGAACGGCTTTAAATTCAAAAAGCGAACTGAAAGGGAAAGGCTTTAAATTGAAAAGCGAACTGAAAGGAACGGCTTAAAATTGAAAAAGCGAACTGAAACTGAAAGGAAACTGAAAGGGCTTGAAATTTAAAAAGCGAACTGAAAGGAACGGTTTGAAATTCAAAAGCGAACTGAAAGGGAAAGGCTTGAAATTCAAAAGCGAACTGAAAGGGAAAAGGCTTTAAATTGTAAAAAAGCGAACTGAAAGGGAACGAAATTGAAAATGAAAAAAACTGAAAGGAAAACGACTTGAAATTCAAAAAGCGAACTGAAAGGAACGGCTTGAAATACGAACTGTCAAAAGAAAAGCCAACTGAAAAAAACTCAAAGCGAAGGGAACGGCTTGAAATTCAAAAGCGAACTGAAAGGGAAACGGCTTTAAATTCAAAAAGCGAACTGAAAGGGAACGGCTTTAAATGAAAAAGCGAACTGAAAAGGAACGGCTTTAAATTCAAAAGCGAACTGAAAAGGAAAGGCTTTTAAATTGAAAAGCGAACTGAAAGGGAACGGCTTGAAATTGAAAAAGCGAACTGAAAGGAACGGTTTTAAATTGAAAAAGCGAACTGAAAAGGGAAAGGCTTTAAATTCAAAAAGCGAACTGAAAAGGAACGGATTAAAATGAAAAAGCGAACTGAAAGGAAAGGCTTTAAATTGAAAAAGCGAACTGAAAAGAAAACAAATTGAAATTAAAAAGCGAAACTGAAAGGGAAAGGCTTGAAATCAAAATAGAAAAAAAGGAACTGAAAAGGAAAAGGAACTAAAATTAAAAGCGAACTGAAAGGGAAAGGCTTTAAATTCAAAAGCGAACTGAAAGGGAACGGCGTTAAATTGAAAAAACTTGAACGGAAAAGCGAACTGAAAGGAAAAGCGAACTTTAAATTAAAAAAAAGCGAACTGAAAGGGAAATGTCTTGAAATTCAAAAGCGAACTGAAAGGGAAAGGCTTTAAATTCAAAAGCGAACTGAAAGGAAACGGCTTGAAAATTCAAAAAGCGAACTGAAAGGGAACGGCTTGAAATTGAAAAGCGAACTGAAAGGAAAGGCTTTAAATTCAAAAAGCGAACTGAAAAGGAAAGGCTTTAAATTGAAAAGCGAACTGAAAGGAAGGGAAATTCAAAAATTGAAAAGGGAAAAGCTTTAAACTGAAAAGGAACTGGCTTGAAATTGAAAAGCGAACTGAAAGGGAAAGGCTTGAAATTCAAAAAGCGAACTGAAAGGGAACGGCTTGAAATTCAAAAGCGAACTGAAAGGGAACGGCTTGAAATTCAAAAAAGCGAACTGAAAGGAACGGCTTGAAATTGAAAAAAGCGAACTGAAAGGAAAGGCTTGAAATTCAAAAGCGAACTGAAAGGGAACGGCTTGAAATTCAAAAAAGCGAACTGAAAGGGAACGGCTTTGAAATTCAAAAGCGAACTGAAAAAGGAACGGTTTTTAAATTGAAAAGCGAACTGAAAGGGAAAAGGCTTGAAATTCAAAAGCGAACTGAAAGGGAACGGCTTGAAATTCAAAAAGCGAACTGAAAAAGGGAAAGGAACTGAAAATTGAAAAGCGAACTGAAACTGAAATGGAACGGCTTTAAATTGAAAAAAGGAACTGAAAAGGGACGGCTTTAAATTCAAAAGCGAACTGAAAGGGAAAGGCGAAATTTAAATTCAAAAGCGAACTGAAAAGGGAAAGGCGTTAAATTGAAAAGCGAACTGAAAAGGAAAGGCTTGAAATTCAAAAAGCGAACTGGAAAGGGAATTTAAATTCAAAAGCGAACTGAAAGAAAGCGAACTTTTGAAATTCAAAAGCGAACTGAAAGGAAAGGCTTGAAATTGAAAAAGCGAACTGAAAGGGAAAGGCTTTAAATTCAAAACCGAACTGAAAGGGAAAGGCTTGAAATTCAAAAGCGAACTGAAAGGGAACGGCTTGAAATTCAAAAGCGAACTGAAAGGAACGGCTTTGAAATGAAAAAAGCGAACTGAAAGGGAAAGGCTTTAAATTGAAAAGCGAACTGAAAGGGAACGGCTTGAAATTGAAAAAACGAACTGAAAAGAAATTGAAAACGAGGCTTTAAAATTAAAAAGCGAACTGAAAGGGGCTTTAAATTGAACTTGCTTTAAATTCAAAAGCGAACTGAAAGGGAACGGCTTGAAATGAAAAAAAAAAAGGGAACGGCTTGAAATTCAAAAACAACTGAAAGGGAAGGCTTAAAATTCAAAAGCGAACTGAAAAGGAACGGCTTTAAATTCAAAAAGCGAACTGAAAAGGAAAGGCTTTAAATTCAAAAGCGAACTGAAAGGGAACGGCTTTAAATTGAAAAGCGAACTGAAAGGGAACGGCTTGAAATTGAAAAGCGAACTGAAAAGGAAAGAAAGGGAACGGCTTAAATTCAAAAGCGAACTGAAAGGAACGGCTTGAAATTGAAAAAAGCGAACTGAAAGGGAAGGCTTGAAATTCAAAAAAACTGAAAGGGAACTGAAAGGAAAAGCGAACTGAAAGAGAAAAAATTGAAAAGCGAACTGAAAGGAAAGGCTTTAAATTCAAAAAGCGAACTGAAAAGGAACGGCTTTGAAATTCAAAAGCGAACTGAAAGGGAAAGGCTTTAAATTCAAAAGCGAACTGAAAGGGGAAATTCAAAAAGCGAACTGAAAGGGGAACGGATTGAAATTGAAAAGCGAACTGAAAGGGAAACGGCTTGAAATTCAAAAGCTGAAAATGGAACAGCTTTAAATTCAAATGCGAACTGAAATTGAAATTGAAAAGCGAACTGAAAGGGAACGGCTTGAAATTGAAAAAAGCGAACTGAAAGGGAACGGCTTGAAATTGAAAAGCGAACTGAAAGGGAACGGCTTGAAATCAAAAAGCGAACTGAAAGGGAAAGGCTTAAATTGAAATTCAAATTTGAAACTGAAAAGGGAAATTGATTCAAAAGCGAACTGAAAAGGAACGGATTTAAATTGAAAAATTTGAAAAAAGCGAACTGAAAGGCTTGAAACTGAAAGGGGGAACGGCTTGAAATTCAAAAGCGAACTGAATTGAAAAGGCTTGAAATTGAAAAGCGAACTGAAAGGGAACGGCGAAATTGAAGGGGAAAATTCGAACTGAAAGGGAAAAAGGCTTTAAATTGAAAAAAGCGAACTGAAAGGGAAAGGCTTGAAAATGAAAAAGCGAACGAAAAGGAACGGCTTGAAATTGAAAAAGCGAACTGAAAGGAACGGCTTTAAATTCAAAAGCGAACTGAAAAGGAACGGCTTGAAATTGAAAAGCGAACTGAAAGGAACGGCTTTAAATTCAAAAGCAAACTGAAAGGAAACAAAATTGAAATTGAAAAAAGCGAACTGAAAGGGAACGGCTTGAAATTGAAAAGCGAACTGAAAGGAAATCTTTAAATTGAAAAAAGCGAACTGAAAAGAAAAAATTGTTAAAAAAGCGAACTGAAAGGAAAGGCTTTGAAATTCAAAAAGCGAACTGAAAGGGAAGGCTTGAAATTCAAAAGCGAACTGAAAGGGAAAAGGCTTTAAATTCAAAAGAACTGAACTGAAAAGGGAAGAAAAAGGCTTTAAATTCAAAGCGAACTGAAAAGCGAACTGAAAGGAACGGCTTGAAATTCAAAAGCGAACTGAAAGGGAACGGTTTGAAATTCAAAAGCGAACTGAAAGGGAAAAGGCTTGAAATTCAAAAGCGAACTGAAAGGGAACGGCTTTGAAATTGAAAGAAAAGCGAACTGAAAGGGAACGGCTTGAAATTCAAAAAGCGAACTGAAATGGGGAAATTCAAAAAGCGAACTGAAATGGAACGGCTTTAAATTGAAAGCAAATGGCTTGAAATTCAAAAGCGAACTGAAAGGAAAGGAAGGCTTTTGAAAAGCGAACTGAAAGGAAACGGCTTGAATTTGAAAAGCGAACTGAACTGGAAAAGGAAATTCAAAAGCGAACTGAAAAAGGAAACTGAAAATTCAAAAAGCGAACTGAAAGGGAAAGGCTTTAAATTCAAATGAAAGAAAGGAAAGGCTTTAAATTCAAAAGCGAACTGAAAAGGAAAAATCAAAAAACGAACTGAAAGGAACGGCTTTAAATTGAAAAGCGAACTGAAAACGGCTTGAAATTGAAAAGCGAACTGAAAGGGAAAGGCTTTAAATTCAAAAGCGAACTGAAAGGGAAAGGCTTTGAAATTAAAAAGCGAACTGAAAGGGGAAGGCTTTGAACGGAAAAAAAGCGAAACTGAAAAGGAAAGTTTGAAATTGAAAAGCGAACTGAAAGGGGGCTTGAAATTCAAAAGCGAACTGAAAGGGAACGGCTTGAAATTCAAAAGCGAACTGAAAGGGAAAGGCTTGAAATTGAAAAGCGAACTGAAAGGAAACGGTTTGAAATTGAAAAGCGACGGTTTGAAACAAAAAAGGGAAAAGGCTTGAAATTCAAAAAGCGAACTGAAAGGGAACGTCTTGAAATTGAAAATTGAACTGAAAGTGAACGGCTTGAAATTAAAAAGCGAACTGAAAGGAAAAGGCTTTAAATTGAAAAGGAACTGAAAGGAAAGGCTTGAAATTGAAAAGCGAACTGAAAGGGAACGGATTGAAATTGAAAAGCGAACTGAAATGGAACGGCTTGAAATTGAAAAGCGAGAACTGCTTTAAATTGAAAAGCGAACGAAAAATGGAACGGCTTGAAATTGAAAAGCGAACTGAAAGGAACGGCTTGAAATTGAAAAGCGAACTGAAAGGGAAAGGCTTTGAAATTCAAAAGCGAACTGAAAGGAACGGCTTGAAATTCAAAAAAGCGAACTGAAAGGGGAAAGGCTTGAAATTCAAAAGCGAACTGAAAGGAACGGCTTGAAATTCAAAAGCGAACTGAAAGGGAAAGGATTAAAATGAAAAAGCGAACTGATTTGAAAGGGAACGGTTTTGAAATTCAAAAGCGAACTGAAAGGGAACGGCTTTAAAATTCAAAAAAAGCGAACTGAAAAAAGGGAAAGGCTTTGAAATTCAAAAAGCGAACTGAAAGGAAAAGGCTTGAAATTCAAAAAGCGAACTGAAAGGGAACGGCTTGAAATTGAAAAGCGAACTGAAAAGGGAAAGGCTTGAAACTGAAAGCGAACTGAAAGGGAAAGGCTTTTAAATTCAAAAGCGAACTGAAAAGGGAAAGGCTTTGAAATTCAAAAAGCGAACTGAAAGGGAACGGCTTGAAATTGAAAAGCGAACTGAAAGGGAACGGCTTGAAATTGAAAAAGCGAACTGAATGGGGAAAGGTTGAAATTCAAAAGCGAACTGAAAGGGAACGGCTTGAAATTCAAAAGCGAACTGAAAGGGAACGGATTGAAATGAAAATTGAAAAAAGGAATGTTTTTGAAATTAAATTCGAAAAGCGAACTGAAAGGGAAAGGCTTTAAATTTGAAAAGCGAACTGAAAGGAAAGGCTTGAAATTCAAAAGCGAACTGAAAGGGAAAGGTTGAAATTCAAAAAAGAACTGAAAGGGAACGGCTTGAAATTCAAAAAGCGAACTGAAAGGAACAGTCTTGAAATTAAAAAGCGAAACTGAAACGGGAAAGGCTTGAAATTTAAAAGCGAACTGAAAGGAACGGCTTGAAATTCAAAAGAACGAAGGGGAAAGTCTTGAAATTCAAAAAACGGCTTGAAATTCAAAAAGCGAACTGAAAAGGAAAGGCTTGAAATTGAAAAGCGAACTGAAAGGGAAAGGCTTGAAATTCAAAAGCGAACTGAAAGGAACGGCTTGAAATTGAAAAGCGAACTGAAAGGGAAAGGCTTGAAATTCAAAAGCGAACTGAAAAGGAAAATGGAACGGCTTGAAATTGAAAAAGCGAACTGAAAGGGAACGGCTTGAAATTGAAAGGGAACGGCTTGAGGAAAAAGCTTTGAAATTCAAAAGCGAACTGAAAGGGAAATTGAAATTTGAAAAGCGAACTGAAAAAAAGCAAAATGAAAAGCGAACTGAAAGGGAAACGGCTTTAAATTCAAAAAAGCGAAAAAAGCGAAATTCAAAAAAGCGAACTGAAAAGGAAGGCTTTAAATCAAAAAAGCGAACTGAAAGGGAAAGGTTAAAATTTGAAAATTGAAAAGCGAACTGAAAGGGAACGGTTTAAATTGAAAAAGCGAACTGAAAGGGAAAGGCTTGAAATTGAAAAGCGAACTGAAAGGAAAGGCTTGAAATTCAAAAGCGAACTGAAAGGAACGGATTGAAATTCAAAAGCGAACTGAAAACGGCTTGAAATTGAAAAAGCGAACTGAAAGGAACGGCTTGAAATTGAAAAAAGCGAACTGAAATGGAACGGCTTTAAATTGAAAAAACTGAAAGGAACGGTTTGAAATTCTGAAAAAGCGAACTGAAAGGGAACGGTTTGAAATTGAAAAGGAAACGGATTGAAAGGAAAAAGCGAACTGAAATTGAAAAAAAAAAGCAAACTGAAAAGAAAAGGCTTGAAATTCAAAAGCGAACTGAAAAGGGAAAAGGATTGAAAAAAACTGAAAGGGAACGGCCAACTGAAAGGGAAACGGATTTAAATTGAAAAAACTGGCTTGAAAGGGAAAAAAACTAAATTAAAAAGCGAAATTGAAAGCGGAAAGGGCTTTAAATTCAAAAAGCGAACTGAAAGAAAAAGGCTTTTAAATTAAATTCGAAAAATTCAAAACTGAAAGGGAAAAGGCTTTAAATTGGAAAAAGCGAACTGAAAGGGAAAAGGCTTTGAAATTCAAAAGCGACCTGAAAAGGAAAGGCAAATTGAAATTGAAAAAGCGAACTCAAAGGGAACTGAAAGGAACTTGAAATTCAAAAAAGCGAACTGAAAGGAAACGGCTTGAAATTGAAAAGCGAACTGAAATTCAAAAAAGTTTGAAATTCAAAAGCGAACTGAAAGGGAAAAGGCTTTAAATTCAAAAAGCGAACTGAAAGGGAAAGGTTTTGAAATTCAAAAGCGAACTGAAAGGAACGGCTTGAAATTCAAAAGCGAACTGAAAGGAACGGTCTTGAAATTGAAAACGGATTGAAATGGAAAAAAGTTTTTTAAAAAAAGCGAACTGAAAGGAAAGGCTTTAAATTCAAAAGCGAACTGAAAGGAACGCTTTAAATTCAAAAACTAAAAGGAAAGGCGAAATTCAAAAGGGAAAAGGCTTGAAATTGAAAAAAGCGAACTGAAAGGGAAAGGCTTTAAATTCAAAAACGAACTGAAAGGGAAAGGAAATTCAAAAGCGAACTGAAATGGAACGGCTTTAAATTGAAAAGCGAACTGAAAGGGAAAGGCTTGAAATTGAAAAAGCGAACTGAAAGGAAAGGCTTGAAATTGAAAAATGCGAACTGAAAGGAACGGCTTGAAATTCAAAAAAGCGAACTGAAAAGGAACGGCTTGAAATTGAAAAGCGAACTGAAAGGGAAAGGCTTGAAATTCAAAAAAAGCGAACTGAAAAGGAAAGGCTTGAAATTCAAAAGCGAACTGAAAGGGAACGCTTTAAATTCAAAAGCGAACTGAAAGGAATGTCTTTGAAATTGAAATTCGAACTGAAAAGGAAAGGCTTGAAATTGAAAAAAAAATTCAAACTGAAAGGAAAGAAAAAAGGCTTGAAAAATTGAAAAAAAAAGCTTTTAAAAAGGAACTGAAAGGGGAAATTCAAAAGGAAAAAGCGAAAGGGAACGGATTGAAATTGAAAAGGAACTGAAAGGAACGGTTTGAATTCAAAAGCGAACTGAAAGGAACAGTTTTTGAAATTCAAAAAAAAAGCTGAAAGCTTGAAATTAAAAAAGCGAAAAGGAAAGTTTTTGAAATTCAAAAGCGAACTGAAAGAACGGCGTTAAATTGAAAACGGCTTGAAAAAAAAAATCAAAAGCGAACTGAAATGGAAGGCTTGAAATTCAAAAGCGAACTGAAAGGAACTGAAATTGAAAGGAACTGAAAGGGGAAAAAATTGAAAAAAGCGAACTGAAAGGGAACGGTTTGAAATTGAAACTGAAAGGGAAAACGGTTGAAATAAAAAAGCGAACTGAATGGAAAGGCTTTAAATTCAAAAGCGAACTGAAAGGAAAGGCTTGAAATTCAAAAGCGAACTGAAGGAACGGCTTGAAATTGAAAAGCGAACTGAAAGGGAAGGTTTGAAATTGAAAAAAGCGAACTGAAAGAAAACGGTCTTAAATTGAAAAGCAAACTGAAAGGAAATGCTTCAAAAATTCAAAAGCGAACTGAAAGGGAAAGGCTTGAAATTCAAAAGCGAACTGAAAAGAAAAACGGCTGAAAAAAAGCGAACTGAAAGGGAAATGTCAAAAAAAGCGAACTGAAAGGGAAAAGCTTGAAATTGAAAAAGCGAACTGAAAGGGAAAGGCTTAAATTCAAAAGCGAACGAAAAGAAAACGGCTTGAATTTGAAAAGAAAGCGAAAATTTGAAAAGCGAAAGCGAAAACTGAAAGCGACCTTTAAAATTCAAATGCGAACTGAAAGGAACGGCTTGAAAAAAAAAGCGAACTGAAAGGAACGTCTTGAAATTCAAAGAAAGCGACCTGAAAGGAACAGCAAATTCAAAAAAGCGAACTGAAAGGAAAAGGCTTGAAATTCAAAAACAAACTGAAATGGAACGATTGAAATTCAAAAGCGAACTGAAAGGGAAAGGCTTTAGAATTCAAAGCAGACTGAAAGGAAGGCTTTAAATTCAAATACGAACGAAAGGGAACAGCTTAGATTTGAAAAAGCGAAACGAAAAATGGAACAACGAAATTGAAAAGCGAACTGAAAGGGAAGAGCACCAAGAGATTCAAAAAACTGACCTGAAAGGAAAGGCAATTCAAAGCGAACAGAAAGATAGAAATATCACGATCGAGGATTTCACTGTAAAGCGAACTGAAATCGCCAGTGTACAAGGTTCGTTTATAGCTAACGGATTTTTCAAAATTGTGGCGACTCATGTGTAGAACCATTGAATGATAGAAATATCATCGGCAGCCGTTGAGTTTACTGAAATGGATCAAGGCTCGTTTTTGAATAAAGTTTTCATTGATATAAAGGGCGAAGTAAACATTTCTTAATTGATTCAAATCATCGAACTGTCGGGGAACGGAACTGAGGATGGATCGCCAGTCTAAATTCCATCTGTGGCGAAATGTAGAAAATAAGTTTTAATTTCAAAAATCATCGGCACTGAGTTTACACTGTAAGGAATGGCTTCTACAAGGTTTCGTTTTTCAAATGCGAACGAAAATGATGAACAGCTTGAGTTTACACTGTAAAGCGAACTGAGGAAAAGTCTGGCTCGAGCGAAAACGGAACATTAGGTCTTGATGATAGAAATATCATCGGCTGAAACTGTAAAGCGAACGGATGGATCGCCAATCTACAAGGCTCGATTTTTGTAGCCAACGGAAAGATTTAAAAATTCAAAACATTAACCTGAATTGGGAAAGGCAGCGTTGGTTTTAAAAGCGAACTGAATGGATAGTCTACAAGGCTCGTTTTTTGCCAGATAGACGCTGAATATAGGAAACATTAAGTCTTAAATTGATAGAAATATCATCGGCAGCCGTTAACTGTAAAGCGAGGGGAGGACGGATCCTTGAAAGGCGTTTTTAACGGAATTTAAAGGTATAAAATGTGGGAACTGAAACATTAAGGCTTAATTTGATAGAAATATCATCAAAGGCTGTAAAGCGAACTGAGATGGATCGCCAGTCTACCAGGTTCGTTTTATAGCTAACCGGATTTTCATAAGTGTGGCGACTTATGTAGAAACGTTAAGTCTTAATTGATGATAGAAATATCATCTGCAGCCCTTCAGGTTTACTGTAAAGCGAACTGAGGATGGATCGCCAGTCTACAAAGGCTCGTTTTTGTAGATAACGGATTACATAGATAAAAAGTTGGGGAGACTTATGTAGAAACATTAAGTCTTAATTGATATTGAAATATCATCGGCATGCGTTGGGTTTACACTGTAAAGCTAACGAGATGGATGCCAGTCTACAAGGCTCGATTTTGTAGGTAACGGATTTTCATAGACATAAAAGTTGGGGCGACTTTTTGTAGAAACATTAAGTCTTAATTGATGATAGAAAATCATCGTCAGCCGTTGGTTTAACTCAAAGGATGGATCCTTGATTTAACGATTTTTTAGATATAAAAAGTGGGGCGAATGTGAAAAGGGTCTTAATTGATGTCTTTAAAATAAAACCGAACTGAAAGGTTACAAGGGTTTAAACGTGTTTTCAAAAAGTCTTTGTATAAACTGAAATGGAGAAAAGTCTACAGCCGTTCGATTACTGTAAAAGCGATGGAACTGAAAAGGAATAGATATAAAATGAAAAAAGACAACTGAAAAACATTAAGTCTTAATTGATGATCAAAATATCAACTGACAGGAACAGTTAAAATTAAAAAGCGAACTGAAATGGATGGGCGACTTAAATTCAAATGGAAATATTCGTTTTTGAAAAGAAAATGGCGTTGAAATTCATAGAACTAAAAGATTAGGGGCGAATTCAAAAGAAACATTAAGTCTTAATTGATGATTGAAATATCATCTGAACCGTTGAGTTTACACGAGCGATGGATCGCCAGTCAAAAGCGAACGATTTTCATATGGATGCTGAGGGGTGGGCAGCTTATGTAGAAATATTAAGTCTTAATTGATGGCAAATATCATCGGCGGCGGTTGGGTTTAGACTGTAAAAGCGAACTGAGGATGGATCGCCAGTCGTTAAGGTTCGTTTGTGCTGTAGCCAGACGTGAACTTTCATATAGATATAAAGTGGGGCGACGTTTGAAACATTAAGTCTTAATTGATGATAGAAATATCATCGGCATCCGTTGGGTTTACACTGTAAAGCAGACTGAGGATGGATCGCCAGTGTACAAAGGTTCGTTTTTGTAGCAACGTATTTTCATAGATATAAAGTTGGCGACTTTTGTAGAAACAGTAAGTCTTAATTTATGAGTAAATATCATCGGCATCCGTTGGGGTTTACACACCTTAACAATACAGACAGGATGGATCGCCAGTGTACAGGTTCGTTTTGTAGCCAACGTATTTTCATGGATATAAAAGTGGGACTTTTGTAGAAATATTTAAATTAATGATAGAAATATCATCAGCATCCGTTAAGGTTTACATAATAAAGCGAACTGAGATGGATCGCCATTGACCTGAGTTCATTTTTGTAGCCAACTGACTTTCATAGATATAAAAAGTGGGGCGACTTTTGTAGAAATAATTTAAGTCTTAATTGATGATAGAAATATCATCGGCATCAATTCAGTTTACTGTAAAGCAGACTGAGGATGGATCGCCGGTTCGTTTTTGTGGCCAACGTGTTCATGAATATAGGTGGGCGACTTTTGCTTGACTTATGTCTTAATTTATGATAGAAATATCATCAGCATCCGTTAGGTTTACCATAAAGCAGACGCAGGATGGATCATGACATACAAGGTTCGACTTTTGCCAACGTGTTTTCATAGATATAAAAGTGGGGCGACTTTTGTACGAAAAATTAAGTCTTAAATTGATGATAAGTCTTAAATATCATCGGCATCCGTTGAGTTTACACTGTAAAGCGAACTGAGGATGGATCGCCATTCTTCAAGTTTCGTTTTTGTAGATAACGGATTTTCCTAATTATAAAATTGGGCGACTGAAAAATAAGTCTTAATTGATGATAGAAATATCATCGGCATCAGTTGGGTTTACACTGTAAAGCGAACTGAGGATGGATCGCCAGTTTACAAGGTTCGTTTCATAGCTAACGTATTTTCATAGATATAAAAGTGGGGCGACTTTGTAGAAACATTAAGTCTTAATTGATGATAGATATATCATCGGCATCCGTTGGTTTACACTGTAAAGCGAACTGAGGATGGATCGGCCAGTCTACAAGGTTCGTTTTGTAGCCAATTTTCATAGATAAAAAAAGTGGGGCGAACTGAAACATTAAGTCTTAATTGATGATAGAAATATCATCTGCAGCCGTGGGGGTTTAAACTGTAAAGCGAACTGAGGATGGATCGCCAGTTAGATAAGGTTCGTTTTGACAAGGGGAACGTATTTTCATAGAAATATAAAAAGTTGGGGCGAACTGAAATGGGAAACATTAAGTCTTAATTGATGATAGAAATATCATCGGCATCCGTTGGGTTTACACTGTAAAAACTGAGGATGGAAAGTGTACAAGGTTCGTTTTGTAGCCAACGTATTTTCATGGATAAAAGTGGGCGACTTATATAGAAACATTAAGTCTTAATTGATGATAGAAATATCAAGCGCCGTTGAGTTTATTTGTCGAACTGAGGATGGATCCCAGTGTACAAGGTTCGTTTTTGCCAACGTATTTTCATAGATATGTACTTTTGTAAACATTAAGTCTTAATTGATGATAGAAATATCAAATCGGCATCCGTTGGGTTTACACTGTAAAGCGAACTGAGGATGGATCGCCAGTTTACAAGTTTCGTTTTCATAGATATACGGATTGGCGATATTTAGAAACATTAAGTCTTAATTGATGAAAAGGAATCGGCATCCGTTTTTACTGTAAAGCGAACTGAATGGTCAGTCTACAGGTTGATGCTAACGATTTTTTAGATATAAAGGGTGGGCGAAAGAAACGGTTTAAATGACAGAAATATCATCGGCGTCGTTTAACTGTAAAGCAGACTGAGGATGGATCGCCAGTTTACAAGGTTCGTTTTTGTAGATAACATATTTTCATTGATATAAACGGGGGGCGACTTATGTGATGAAAAATTAAGTCTTAATTGAACGGGGATAGAAATATCAAAGCTAACAACCGTTGTGGCGGTTTAAACTGTAAATGCGAACTGAGGATGGATAAAAAAAGTGGATAAAAGGTTCGTTTTTGTAGCCAACGTATTTTCATAGATATAAAATTGGGGCGACTTTTGTAGAAACATTAAGTCTTAATTGATGATAGAAATATCATCGGCATCCGTCGGTTTTACACTGTAAAAGCGAACTGAGGATGGATCGCCATTTTACAAGGTTCGTTTTAAGCTAAATTTTAATAGATATAAATGGGGCGACTTATGTGAAACATAAGTCTTAATTTATGATGGAAATATCATCGGCATCCGTTGGGTTTCTGTAAAGGCGACTGAGGATGGATCGCCAACAAAGGTTTTATTTTCGTATTTTCATAGATATATAAAGTGGGGCGACTTTTTGAAGAAACATTAAGTCTTAATTGATGATAGAAATATCATCGGCATCCGTTGGGTTTACACTGTAAAAGCGAACTGAGGATGGATCGCCAGTGTACGTCCAGAACGTATTTTTCAAGATATCGTTTTGAAACATTAAGTCTTAACGTATTTAGGCATCCATTGTTTATAAAAGTGGGGCGAAGGTTTTGTTTTGAAAGTGGGGAAAACATTAAGTCCGAATTGATGATTAGAAATATCATCGGCAGCCGTTGGGTTTTACTGTAAAGCGATGGATGAATCCAGTCTACAAGTTTTCGTTTTCATAGCTAACGATTTTTCATAGATATAAAAGATTGGGCGACTTATGTAGAAACATTAAGTCTTAATTGATGGAAATATCATCGGCGGCCGTTGGGTTTACACTGTAAAGCGAACTGGGATGGATCGCCAGTTTCGTTTCAGTAACAAGGATTTTCGTTTTTTAGAACGTATTTTCATAGATATAAAAAAGGGGCGACTTATGGCTAAAAATTAAGTCTTAATTGATGATAGAAATATCATCGGCATCCGTTGGGTTTACACTGTAAAGCGAACTGAGGATGGATGGATCTACAAGGCCGTTACATAGATATAAAAGTTACAAGGTTCGTCTTTTGTAGCCAACGTTGGATTTTCATAAAGCGAATAAAAGATGGGGCGAATTTTTATAGAAACATTAGATCTTAATTGATGATGAAATTATCATTTGCATCCGTTGGGTTTACACTGTAAAGCGAACTGAGGATGGATCGCCAGATGTAAAGGTTCGTTTTTACATAGTAACTTATTTTATAGATATAAAAAGGGGCGACTTTGCAGAAACATTAAGTCTTAATTGATGATAGAAAATATCATCGGCATCCGTTGGGTTTACACTGTAAAGCGAACTGAGGATGGATCGCCATTGTACAAAAGGTTCGTTTTTGGAGCCAACGTATTTTTCACAGATATAAAAGTGGGGGCGACTTTGTAGAAACATTAAGTCTTTATTTATGATAAAAATCATTGGCATCCGTTGGGTTTACTGTAAAGCGAACTGAGGATGGATCGCCATTGTACAAGGTTCGTTTTTGTAGCCAACGTATTTTCATAGATATAAAGTGGGGGACTTTTGTAGAAACATTAAGTCTTAATTTGCTGATAGAAATATCATCGGCGTTGGGTTTACTCTGTAAAACCAGACGAGGATGGATCATATTGTACAAGGTTCGTTTTTGTTTACCATGGAATATAAAGGTGGACTTTGTAGAAATCGATGGACGTCCGTTAGTTTTACCTAAAGTGAGGATGGATCAATGTACAATGTTCTGTTTTTGTAGCCAACGATTTTTCATAGATATAAAAAGTGGGAGCGACTTATGTAGAAACATTAAGTCTTAATTGAGTATTAGAAATATCATCGGCAGCCGTTGGTTTTACATAAAGCGAACTGAGGATGGATCTGATATTACAATGTTTGTTTTGTAATAACGGCCGTATTTTCATAGATATAGGTGGGCGACATATTAAACATTAAAATTAATTGCTGATAAATATCATCGGCAGCCGTTGAGTTTACACTGTAAAGCGACTGGATCGCCAGTCTACAAGTTTTCTGGTTTCGAACGTAATAGTTTTCATAGATATAAACGTGGGGGTGCGACTTATGTGAAACATTAAGTCTTAATTGATGATAGAAATATCATCGGCAGCCGTTGGGTTTTCACTGTAAAGCGATGGATCGCCAGTCTGCAAATTTCGTTTCATAGCTAACGATTTTCATGAATATGAGAGGGGGTGGGCGACTTATGTAGAAAATATTAAATCTTAATTGATGACAGTAATATCATCGGCGGCGGTTGGGTTGCACCTTAAAGCCCTGACGGATGGATCGCCGGTCTACAAGGTTCGGTTTTGTAACCAACTTATTTTCATAGATATAAAAGGTGGGGCGACTTTTGTAGAAACATTAAGTCTTAATTGATGATAGAAATATCATCGGCATCCGTTAAGGTTTACACTGTAAAAGCGAACTAGGGATGGATCGCCATTGTACAAGGTTCGTTTTGGAGCCAACATATTTTCATGGAGAATATAAGTGGGGCGACTTTTGTAGAAACAATAAGTCTTTATTGATGATAGAAATATC